ACTTGTTATGCATGAGAGAGCTGGACAATGACTAAGAAGGATAGAAGGAGAATTGATGCCTTTGAGCTGTGGTGTTGGAGAAGAGTATTGAAAATACCATGGACTGCTAGGAAAACAAACAGATTCATCCTGGAAAGGGTCAAACCGGATGGCTCCTTGGAGGGAAAGACTCTGAGGCTCCATCTAACATACTTTGGACATGTTGTAAGGAGACATGATGTCCCTTGGAGAGGGACATCATGCTTGGTAGGGTAGAGGAACAGCGCAGGAGGTAAGGTCCTCTATGAGGTGGATTGATTCAGTGACTGGGACAACTGGGACGGGTGTATTGGAGATGGTGTGATTGGCACAGGTCAGAGCGGAGTTTAGGGCTGTTGTACACAGGGTCACTATGAGTCGCAAGCAACTCGACAGCACATAACAACCACCACCATCAATTCCAATCCAACTGGCAAAGAAGGTGATTGCCCCTCCAGAGGAGCATCTGGTGGATTCAAACTGCACGCCTTTGGGATTGCAGTGCAGCTTCTTGCCACTAGGCTATCAGAGCTCTCTTCTATAATCTATTCTTAACACAGGGGTCAAAGGTGATCCTTCCAGATATGATGTTGGAACTTTGGCGCTTGAAAGCCCTCTGATGGCTTCCCACATTGCTCAGAGTAAAAGACCCTATCATACATTTACAGTGCTACCATGCCCCTCATGTCTGACCTCATTTTCTACCACTCTCTGCACTGATCACTTAGTACTGTTACTAGAATTCACCATGCACGTTCCTCCCCTGTAGTGTTTTTGCTATTTCCTCTCTACATGTTCTTCCTCAATGTCTCCATGACTCCCTCCATCACCACCTTTAAGTCCTGGCTTATCTGTTACTTTTCCGATGAGGACTTCCCTAACCTTGTATCTAAAATTGTAACTAGCATCCATGGCACTGCTTTTACTATCTCATATCGTGTCTTACTGATTTCGCAAGTGTCTCTAATTAGAATGTAATCTCTAGTATCTAGAACAATATTTGCTGATAAAACATTAGAAATCTGAGACTGACTTTCTTGGTGAATTTGGTACTATTTAAGATGCTTCTGTGCATTAGTTCCTCATCTGTAAAAAAGGAATGATATTAATTCTGCCTTCCTTAGACTAAGAAATTTAGTAAGAATATATTCCTAAAAATATTTATCAGTAGTTGAGTGCTTACTCAATTTATCGACATCCTGCATCAGGCTAAGTGAAAGATCTAGGAAAAAGGAAAAGAAATAGTTTAAGGGTTATTAAAAAGCATGAATAACTGAAAAATTGGTAATACATAGTTCCAACTCTCTGAAAGTCAATATAACTAAAGAGAGGAGAGAATTTCCATTATTGCCTTTGGCTTAGGATAGAACTGTATTTTTTTTTTCAGGAATTATTTTCTTATTTTAATGAAAGTTTTCAGAGACTTTGGATTTCCATTCATTCATTG